GTAATTTTGCCTAAAGTGGGGGAAAAAATTAAGCTAATGTTGAAACCTTTATTAACATATCTGTGTTATCATTTTCTCTTTTAGCCTAGATCATTTCATTTTAGCCATTTAAGTACTACTTTTGGTCTTATTAACAATACAGTCATGCAAAGGGCAGGTTGACACAAGCAATTTTCAGATTCCTGCCTGGGTAAGATCCTAATTTAAAAAAAGCAGAAAACCCCAACAAATCACGGGCAGGAAGAAAGAACAACGAGAATGTAGCTAAAATAATTCCATTAATGATCAGTTTATGTTCAAGCATGTGGAAATAATGCCTTATAGGAGGATATGTAGCAAAGACTGCTGTTTTTTTAAAACTCATTTTCCCCTGTTGGTAAAGAATTATAAGTTTTTTCAGACTTCAGATGTGCACAGCTGACTACGTGTGTGTGTGTGTGTGTGTGAGAGAGAGAGAGAGACAGAGACAGAGACAGGGTCTCCTTCTCTTGCCCAGACTGGAGTAAGGTGGTACAATCTTAGCTCATTGCAGCCTCGAACTCCTGGGCTCAAGTAGTCTCCTGCCCTCAGCCTCCTTCATAGCTAGGACTGTAGGTTTGTGCTACCACACCCAGCTACTTTTTTTTTTTTTTTTTTTTTTGAGACAGAGTCTCACTCTGTCATCCAGGCTGGCATGCAGTGGCACGATCTAGGCTCACTGCAACCTCCGCGTTCTGGGTTCGAGCGATTCTTCTGCCTCAGCCTCCTGAGTAGGTGGGACTACAGGTGCCCATCACCACACCTGGCTAATTTTTGTATTTTTAGTAGAGACGGGGTTTCACCATATCGGACAGGCTGGCCTCAAACTCCTGACCTTGTAATCTGCCCGCTTTGGCCTCCCAAATGCTGGGATTACAGGCATGAGCCACCATGCCTGGTCTTTCTTTCTTTTTTTTTTTTTTTTTTTATTTGTAGAGACAGCCTTGCTATGTTGCCCAGGCTGGTCTCAAATTCCTGGCCTCAAGCAGTCTTCCCACTTCAGCCTCTCAAAGAACTGGGATTACAAGCATGAGCCACTGTACCTGGCCCCATGCCTGACTACATTTCTCAGCTTCCTTTGTGGCTAGGCTGTGCTAGGTAGCCTTGTACCTAAATTTTGCCATTGAGCTGTAAGTGGAATTTGTTGGGTGAATCTACTACAAAGGATCTTAAAAGGGACATAGTGGGGCCAGGTGTGGTGGCTCTTGCCTGTAATCCCAGCACTTTGGGAGGTCAAGGCAGACAGATCAAGTTAGGAGTTTGAGACCAGCCTGGCCAACGTGGCAAAACCCCATCTCCACTAAAAAAATAAAAATTAGCTGTGTATGGTGGCACATGTCTGTAATATCAACTGCTTGGGAGGCTAAGGCAGGAGAATCACGTGAACTCGGGAGGCGGGGGTTGCAGTGAGCTGAGATCTCGCCACTGCACTCCAGCCCAGCAACAAAGCAAGACTCTGCTTCAAAAAGAAAAAGCCGCATTGGTTGCCTCTTCCAGGTGGAGGGGAGATGATGGGAGCCCAGACTTTTGTCTTTTCCCTTTTCTAGAAAGGAGATGAGGTTGCTGGTGCTATGGAAGCTATTATGGACCATGAGGCAGTTTGAAGACAGACAGTCTGCATCCTTGATGACTCCTTGGAACTTCACCCCAACCCAGGACTGACTGCCCCAGATCTTTGTTACATGAGGGCATACACTCTTGTGTGTTTAAGAAACCGTGCCTGGATCTGTTACTGGAATATGCATGCAGTTAATAACTGGCTCAAAATGACTCATCTCAACCCACATTGGCTGCCTCTTCCAAACAGTATATAGGTCTGCTCTGTGGTGGTTCTCAGGATGGCTGTGATGTAGCCTCAAGTTTATCCATGGGAAATATTCATGGTGTCCTGATGTTGCAGAGGACATCCTGAGCTGGCTGGAGAAACCTGAGACACAACCCAGGCGACTGTAATGTAACTTCTGAGCCCATTCAGGACCCCTACAGTGGACACCTAAAAACAAAGGCGGCCAGGTGCGGTGGCTCAAGCCTATATAGATCCCAGCACTTTGGGAGGCCAAGGTGGGAGGATCTCTTGAGCCCAGGAGTTTGAGACCAGCCTGGGGAACATGGCAAAACTGTTTCTACAAAAAATACAACAAATTAGCCAGGTGTGGTGGTATGCACCTGTAGTTCCAGCTTCTTGGGAGGCTCATGTAGGAGAATAACCTGAGCCCAGGAAGTCAAGGCTGCAATGAGCCATGATCATGCCACTGCACTCCAGCCTGGGCAACAAAAAGAAGAAGAAAACAGAACCTGTTCACTGGGTGTGGTAGACAGGTGACAAACTTTTCATTCCCTCCTATACCCCACAACCTTGGATGTGCCCAGAGTCAGGGCAGTCTTTCATAATGATGTAGCTGATGATAGATGTGATGTTGGAAATTCTGACTGCTGCTGTCAGTCCTACCAGCCCCCAACATTTGGTGCTTGTTCTAAAGGGCATGTCTTAGGAGTCACTTCAAACTCTTAAAGTATCACTCTGTACAAACAAGAAGTGCAAGGAAGTGGCCTGAGCTCAGTCTCGCTATAGGGTTATTTTATTATCACTAGATCATGTCTTTCCATTACAATGACCTGTCTCTGAATCCTGTTGGTTCATCTTTCAAAATGCCCTTTTCTTCCAGTCCTCATAGCTAGTGCCCTAAAAGTGACCTGCAGTACCCCCTGCTGAGATGAATGCACCAGCTTCCTAACTAGCCTGGACTCCCTTCATTCTCAAAAGTCAGAGCCAGACCACCTTGCCTGAAAACCCACTTTCAGTGTGTCTCACCTCAGCAGAAATGTTTCTCAGGTTCCAGGTTCCAATTAACAACCACATCACACCCCTGCTCTTGTCTCTGTTTTAAGGGTATCTATAGGCTGGGTGTGGTGGCTCCGGCCTGTAATCCCAGTACTTTGGGAGGCCAAGGTGGGCGGATCACTTGAGGTCAGGAGTTCAAGACTAGCCTGGCCAACATGGTGAAACACCATCTCTACTAAAAAAAAAAAAAAAAAAAAAAAAGCCTGGCATGGTGGTGCATGCCTGTAATCCCAGCTTCTTGGAAGGCTGAGGCTGGAGAATCACTTGAACCTAGGAGGCAGAAGTTGCAGTGAGCTGAGATCATGACACTGCACTCCAGCCTGGGCGACAGAGTGAGGCTGTGTCTCAAAAAATAAAAATAAATAAAAAAATAAAAGTACATATAACCTGGTTCCAGCCTGAATTTCCTTCTTCACCCCAACACACAGCGCTAGTCACATTCCCCTGACGTCTGTAAACAACCCCAGCCCTTCCTGTTGTGAAGCCAAGTTCTGGTGGTTCCTCTTTGCCGGAATGTTTTCCCATTCCACTTACCCGAAGCCTTCGGGAGGGGCTGTACCGGGGTTGCAAGAAGCAACGGAAACCATTCAGCACCTGCTACCTTCCATCATATTCTCTTCAATAAAGGGGCAACTCCCACCAATGGCAGTGTAGATTTCCTAACCTCCACACATGGAGGACTCACAGCATTCAGGATTGTTTAATGTTAAGAGAGTACTTGATATTTAACAGCTTACTAGGGTACAAGACAGCGCAGGAAAGAATCCTCTGTTGTCCTTTTTATGTTTTCCTGAACAGTTGGTTCATAGAGTTACTGTAAACACACAAAACTTGACTGCTAGTGCTTAGCAGTCAGGAAATTAGGAACTAGTGCTGACTCATTAACTGTGCCCAAACGAAGCCGCTTAACCTCAGTGAGAGGATTTCATTGTCACCTGGAATCAACAATACCAACCTTAGGGGTAAACTAAAGATAAATGTGTGCAAATCCTGCCTGAAGTCTCGGGGACGTCGCGGGTGTCCAAGAACTGTTCTTAGGCAGCCGGTGGGGACAGTCTGTGAGCCTCTGTCCTAGAGAAGGTCTCAAGGTCGGCTTACTAGCAAAGCAAGGGCAGGGAGCAAGAGGGCTGAATTTTGGTTTTAAGGGCCCTGGCCCTACCCTCCGCTCACAGGCCGGCTGGGCGTCGCTGACCAGCAGCTGGGCCCCGTCTTCGTCAGGAACGGCCCCGAGGCCCCTGGGAGGATACGAACGTCTTTTTGAAGTGAGGCCTCTGGACCCCGCGGCCGCCACAACTCAGCCAATGCCCAGGGTAGGCGCTGCAGCCGCGTCGTGCAGCACGATCCCCACCGGCACCCGGAGGGAGCGGAGCCGGAGGCGGGGCCTTTGGGCCGTACCAACTTCACGGGGGCAGAGGTCGCCTTCCCTCGGCTCCGCGCCACCTAAGTACGGCAAACAGGCAGCGAGTTTTCCGAAGCTGAAGTTAGCCACCGCCCTCTTTCTCCTGGGCCCTGGGCGCGGGGTGAGCGGCCAGCGCGGGTGGGCGGACAGGCCCGGGGGCGCCTTGTGTACCCCCCGGGTTTGGCGCGGCGGGTGCAGGGCGGAGCCCACGCGGGGGTGGGGCGGCGGTGCCCTTCCTGCGCCGCTAGGGTCGCTGCGCGGCTCTCGGCGCTCTCATAAGGCCGGCGGGCCGCGCAGGAGTGGGACTTCTGGCTGTGGTAGTGTCGGCAGCGGCAGCAGCAGCAGCAGCAGCAGCTCCGAGGCGTCAGCGGTAGCACCAGCACCAGCATCATGTTGAGCCGGGCGCTGTGCGGGTGAGACGATAGGGGATCCGGTCACGGCCCCAAGGACGAAGGGGCGCGCGGCGGGCAGGGCCTCCGCGGCGATGGCGACAGTGACCGCCGCGGGCTTGGTGGGGTCGGGCCACGTGCGGGCGGTTCTCCCGGGAGTGCCAGGTGCGGCGGCGGGAGCAGGGATCCGCGGGGAGGGGACGCGAGGACTCGGGGGACGCCGCGTGCTGCGGTTCTCGGCAGCCCAGTCTGCGTAAACGGTCCCGCCGCGCGGACTGACCGGGCTGTGCTTTCGCGTCTTCAGCACCGGCAGGCAGCTGGCTCCGGCTTTGGGGTATCTGGGCTCCCGGCAGAAGCACAGCCTCCCCGACCTGCCCTACGACTACGGCGCCCTAGAGCCTCACATCAACGCGCAGATCATGCAGCTGCACCACAGCAAGCACCACGCGGCCTACGTGAACAACCTGAACGACACCGAAGAGAAGTACAAGGAGGCGCTGGCCAAGGGTAGGTTCCAGGCCGAGCGGCGGGAGGCAGTCCCCTGCTGACGCGACCCCAGGGGAGCCGGGCCCCACACGGACGAGCCTTTCTGTCGAGGAGAACCCGCTTCGTGTTTGTACCGGTTCGGAGTTTTTCAGGCATGACAGTTTCTCTTAAACGCATGGTTTACTTCATTGTAGAAGGAGTCCTCGATGGGTTTGAACACACTTCTGTTATCTCGGGGAACTTGGGGTCCCGCGGAGGAGCTTGTCTGTCCGGTTACCCGCATTGCCAGCATTGATGAATTGTAGGCCTTGAAAAGAAAGCTATACTATGTCACTCGGGTTTTAATTTTTTTTTTTTTTTTTTTGCAAATTAGCAAATTATAATTGTTCTTGTATAACAACAACTCATTGAGCACCTTCTTTAGGCTGGAGTCTAAGCTGGGTGCTGGTATACAGCTTTGGGGAAATGTTTGGTTTCAGATAGGTGTGCCAGCCGTTTGCATGAGGGTTGATAACGCCTGTCCACGGGTGTCCCAGACACCATCGGGTCCGCAGATGTCTCTGAGTGTCAGGGTCACCTCCTGATGGACGTGGGTGTGACGCCTTGCTGCCAGGTCACACTGACGGTGGGAGACGGGAGGACACTGCTCCGTGCTAGGAACCGTGATCCTTGTCACTTTTTTGAGAGCAAACGGGTCGGGAGTCCAGCCTAGGGTTTGATGATTCCCTGCATCCCCAGCTGCCCTGCGTGTGAAAGAAACTTCACTGAGAGTTGTTTACTTCACGTGGGAGGAGGGGAGGCAGGAGTTAGCGCTACGGTGTGAGTTACCAAAAAGCAGTAACCTAACAGTGGAATAGTTCAGGACCTTTAGACTTGATACTTTTCTTGATTTAACTTAGGGGTCAAAGTTCACAAAGAAACTAGTCCTTTGGTGGGAAACTGAAACAGGCTTGTGTTTATTTACTATTTACTTATATTTGTAATGCAATTCAGAGATATGGCATTACCTTTTTCTTTTTTTTCTTTCTAGAGCTTAGTTGATAAAACCGAGGGTATGTGGACTTTTTGAGTCTGTGCCTTTGGGGTGTGGATAGGAATGTTATGTTTTAACGTTTTTTACAAAATGGCATTGTCCTTTTAATCTATTAGTTAGTGGTTTGCACACGGAAGATAATCGATAGTCCTGCTTTCAGACTCTCTATATTGCTTGGTAAGCTACATAGTAAAAAATACTTTTCCTTAAATGTTTTGATTTTCGGGGTTATGAAATTTGTTGAGTAATTTTTAGACAGTGACATCTTGTTGACTGGGGGCATCTAGTGGGAAAACGTGGTATTTCAGCCTGATTGAAGTACGTGACTCAACTTAAAAGAGGAGGAAGTTACCACATTCTGGAAGATTTACTTGAGACAGATGAACTTTGAATACGGGAAAAGGCCCCGTGATTTAGAAAATAACAAATTCGGGAAAGATGTCATAGGGAGAGACTGGGGAATACCCCAGTTGTGAAAGTACTTCCTGTGAGGCAACATCTGACACCCGGGAACCTTTCTCCTCAGTATTTTCAAAACAATTTCAGTCCTTTACTTATGGAATCAGAGCTTTTCTTATGTAATGCAACCTGCTGGGAAAAGCTTTGTATTATATTGTACCATATTATTTATAAGTGATTGAATACCTGCAGGGCTTTCTTTTACTTAAACACGGTATTTTAAACATTACTTATTTATTTTCGTTTTATTTTCATTTTCTTTTACTCTTTTTCTTTTTTTTTTTTTTAATTTTCATCAGCCTCAAATAGCAAAGGTAGATATGAAAATTATTTTAAAAGTTAGATTTTCATGTTTGAAAACTTGGGAAAAAAGTAAAACAATGTCAATCTCATCACATATAACTAATATAAATACTTTCAACTAAAAGTATTTGATTTTTATTGTATTTGAGGTAAAAACTAAACTGAAACCAAAGAAAATGTTGAATTTCAGAAAAGTATTCTTAAAAGTAGCTATTAAGCCTTCATTTTTTATTCATTTTAAAATGAGTAAGCAAACTCTAAGATGTTAAGATTATTGTTTTTTTTTTTTTTGAAACAGCTCTGTCACCCAGGCTGGAGTGCAGTGGCATGATCTGGGCTCACTGCAACCTCTCCCTCCCAGGTTCAAGTAATTCTCCTGCCTCAGCCTCCTGAGTAGCTGGGACCACAGGCATGTGCCACCACACCTGGCTAATTTTTGTATTTTTAGTAAAGACAGGCTTTTGCTATGTTGACCAGGCTGGTCTCGAACTCCTGGCCTCAGATGATCGTCCCTCTTCGGCCTCCCAAACTGCTGGGATTACAGGCATGAGGCACCGTGCCTAGCCAGATGTTAAGATTATTAAATTATCTCTCATTAAGAATGTATCTTTCCCACTTGAAAAATTTAGTTACTATCGATTTATTAAAAAACAATAGAAAAACTTACATTTATTTTTAGGGTGACTCAAGAAAAAATAATAAGGGAAACAAAGATCTATAAGAAAATTATTTGTAAAACTAGCAAAGGAAAAAAAAGTTGATGTCTTTTAAAAAACCCTTAGATATTAGCTGCGTATTCAGATATCACTTGGTCCTCTCCTCCTTTCTGAATTGCTAAACAACTGGAGCTTGTTTCAGAAAGCAGCAGTGCCCACATATGTTCCTTTTTAAAAAAATTTTATACATTTTATCCAAAAAATAGACAATGTCACACTATGTTGCCACGGCTGCTCTTAAATTCCTGGGCTCCCCCATCTACCCACCTTGGGTTTCCAAAGTGCTGGGATTACAGGCATGAGCCACTGTGCCTAGCCAGACGTCCTTTTTTTTTTTTAAACAGCATTTTGCTCTGTCCCCTGGGTTGGAGTGCAGTGATGTGATCTTGGCTTACTGCAACCTCTACTTCCTGGGTTCAAGCAATTCTGCCTCAGCCTCCTGAGTAGCTGGGATTTCAGGCGCATGCCACCATACTTGGCTACTTTTTGTATTTTTTTCAGTAGAAATGGAGTTTCACCATGTTGGCCAGTCTGGTCCTGAACTCCTGATCTCAAGTGATCTGCCCACCTTGGCCTCCCAAAGTGCTGGGATTTCAGGTGTGAGTACTTTTTTTTTTTTTTGGTTTGAGATGGAGTGTTGCTCTGTCGCCCAGGCTGGAGTGCAGTGGCGCAATCTCGGCTCTCTGCAACCTCTGCCTCCTGGGTTCAAGCGATTCTCTTGCTTTAGGTTCCTGAGTAGCTGGGGTTACAGGCATGCACCACCATGCCCAGCTAATTTCTGTATTTTTAGTGGAGAAGGGGTTTCATCATGTTGGCCAGGCTGATTTTAAAATCCTGACTTCAAGAGATCCGCCTGCCTTGGCCTCCCAAAGTGCTGGGATTACAGGAGTGAGCCACTGCACCCAGCCCAGACAGATGTTCTTAATGTGCACTTTCAGAACAGCAGTTGAGAACTTCTTCCAAATGTAAGCTCCTTCAGAGCAGAGCTCTCAGTGAATCTTTGTGTCCTTTACTTTGCTTCTCTTGGTATCTTGTGGATAATACACACACAATACTTATTAAACAAGGGAATTTCCGTTTCTTTCTAATATTAATCATTAAGTTAATCTGTAGCTTCTTGAAGGCATAGAAAAGAATATTTTATTTTGCCTACTTGTTTGTTACCCATGCAGTATGTCAGGAGTTACAGGGCCTATTGAGAAAGAGTAAAGGGTCTAGCAGGGAATTGCTAATTCAGGTATGGTGGCTAGAGAAGGCTTTACTGATGAGGTTGATTCCCATTCCTTGAAAGAGGAATGGGAATGCAACATGACACTGTCTTGGGGAAGAGTGTTCAGGAGAGGCAGAGTGCTCAGCTGGCCTTGAGGAGAGATGCGAGTTGGTCATGTGAATGCAAAAAGGCCAGGGTGGCTGGTGAGCACGTGCTCAGTGATGGGGTCAGGTGCAGCACCTCTTGGTAGTGAGAGTAGCCAAGTGTAAGCACCTAGAGTTCACTCCAGTGAGAAGGGGAGCCTTTGGAGGGGGCAAAGTGCACCCCAACAACTGAGGGGACAGTGGCACCAGTGCAGTGGGAGATTCTGGTCCTTGGCAGCAATGAAGTGACAGTAGAGTTAGGAAGAAGGGATTGGGTTCTGCTTTTTTTTTTCTTTTTTTCCTATGTGCTTTCATGTAGATTGGATGTATGTTAAAGGTAGAGCTGGCTTTGCTGATGTATATGCTGGTGGATTGGATGTAGGGTGAGGGGAAAGGAGTCAGAAATGACATAATGTTCCCAAGGATGTCCTTAGGGATGCAGCTGGCATTTGCTGAGATGGGGAGGACAATAGGGAAGTAAGTTTGGGGCTGAGCATCAGGAGTTCAATTTGGAGTATGTTGAATTTCTTGTTAATGTGACTTGGAGATATTGCCCAATGAATGGTGGTCTGTCTTGAAAATGAGAGTTGAAAGTTTTCTGTGTAGTCTATGTTGAGCCATACATTTTAGCATTCTGTTACTTTATTTGATTGTCCTTTTTGGTGTTTAATTTCCTGAAATCTTTTCTAAGAGAACCCTGAGCCTAGCAGCCAGGAGTGAATATTCTAGCTTTTCTACCTTTGCTGGACCCTCCATCAGTTGTTCAGTATGTCTGGGACAAATAATTTTTTCTCAGTTGGGGGCTGGTTGTTTTTTGTAGAATCTGAAATTGCTGAATTTTAGGACCAACAAGGGTGTTATAGATAAGCTGGTCCCATTATCTAATAACTTACAAGGGGGAAAAAAACAGTGTATACCATGGTTGAAAAACTAAGAGTTATAAAAAATATGTTTGCATTTTAACTTTTCAGGAGATGTTACAGCCCAGATAGCTCTTCAGCCTGCGCTGAAGTTCAATGGTGGTGGTCATATCAATCATAGCATTTTCTGGACAAACCTCAGCCCTGACGGTGGTGGAGAACCCAAAGGTTGGTATAAACTGGTGCACCCTTATCTGCGTTTTGTGCACAGTAGGAATCGATTGTTGATTTACTTAAGTTACCTTTTTCTTACCAGAGGTATCATAGTGGCGTATTTTTCATGGCAAAGAGTACAATAAAGTTGTAGCTTTCAAAAGGGCACAGTAGGAATGGAGAATGCATTCAGGGAGTTATGCCATAAGATTTTATGTTCCCCCACACATAGACTAGCACATCAACTCCACCTTCTGCTTTCATTGGACTGTACTTCATATTAGAGAAAGACAGAGAAACTTTGTTTTTAGAAAATATGAACTTTCTTTTTTTTGAAGTGGAGTCTCACTCTGTCACCCAGGCTGGAGTGCAGTGATGCTATCTTGGCTCACTGCAACCTCCACCTTTCAGGTTCATGCGATTCTCATGCCTCAGCCACCCGAGTAGCTGGGATTACACGCATGTGCCACCACTCCCAGCTAATTTTTGTACTTTTAGTAGAAACAGGGTTTCGCCATGTTGTCCAGGATGGTCTCGAACTCCTGGCCTCAAGTGATTTGTTCACCTTGGCCTCCCAAAGTGCTGAGTATGGGTGTGAGTCATCAAGCCCAGCCTAGGAAAGATGAACTTTCTATTTACCAGTTCTAGGGCCTGGGTTAGATGGTTAACCATCGGTACCTTTTTTTATCTATGTGATACAGGGATAGCAATGGTGTTTTGAGAATTAAGTTATAGTGTCATTTGCTATTTTTCACTGTTCCTAACTGGTAAAAAGCTAGTTGTTCCAGAAAATTGGGTTTTCTGGGTGTTTTTTAAAAATCTTCAGGGAATGAGAAGAGTACAGGGCTAGCTGGTCTTGTTCGCTATCACTGTTTCCTTGACTTCCTGTGTAGCTTGTGGAGGCCCAGATGACTTTAATTATCTTCCTCACCCCAGGGAAGGCATGATACATAAATATAGTTCTTCTCCCTTGTTTCTGGGCTCCATATATGCACCCTAAGTTTCTGTGGTTTTATTGTTCATTTTTAATCAGTGTTATGGAAGGCAGCCTTACACACTTGAAATAAGCAATTTCATTTTAAGGTAATGATGAGTGAAAGGGGTAAGCATGGGAAACTGGGCAACTTATTTTTCTTTATTTATTTTTTTGAGATGGAGTCTCACACTGTCGCTTAGCCTGGAGTGCAGTGGCCTGATCTCGACTCAACTGCAACCTCTGCCTTCTGGGTTCAAGCAATTCTGCCTCAGCCTCCCAAGTAGCTTGGATTACAGGCGCCCACCACCAGGCCCGGCTTATTTTTGTATTTTTTTAGTAGAGACGGGGTTTCACTTTGTTGGCAAGGCTGGTCTTAAAATCCTGACCTCGTGATCTGCCCACCTCGGCCTCCCAAAATGCAGGGATTAGAGGCGTGAGCCAGTGTGCCCGGCCTATTTTTATTTTTATTTATCATTGCTATTTTTTGAGATGGAGTTTTGCTCTTTCACCCAGGCTGGAGTGAAGTGGCTTGATCTTGGCTCATTGCAACTTCCACTCCACTGGGTTCAAGCAATGCTTCTGCCTCAGCCTCCCAAGTAGCTGGGATTATAGGCGCCCACCACCACATCCAGCTTTTTTTTTTTTTTTTTTTTTTTTGTATTTTTAGTAGAGATGGGGTTTCTCCATGTTGGCCAGGCTGGTCTTGAACTCCTGACCCTCAGGTAATCCACCTGTCTCGGCCTCCCAAAGTGCTAGGATTACAGGTGTGAGCCACCGTGCCCAGCCAACTTATTTTTTTCTGAGTTAAGTCTTCTAGACTATCACTTAATACTTCTGAAGTTTTGTCAGTTACCAGAATATCAGATGCATTCATATGCAACCAATGGTTTTGGTACATTGCCATTTTGTTTTTTATCTGTACCACTTCATTCCATCATTTGTGCTTATGAAGATGATTACTTTCAAACCTGTAGAATAAGAGAAGTGAGATTTTTGACCCAGTTGATTTAGTTGATGTGATTAATCTAGAATTATATTCTGTATTGCTACAGAATAAAAGGGTTGTAGCTCTTAAAATATACCCTTAGTTCAGTCATAGAGAAAACCACCCATTTTAAAACAATATAATCAAGACAGGAGGATCTGAGTTGCTTGGAGAACAATAACTTTATTCCCAAATGGAGACATAGAAGGAGTAGGGGTAGAAGTCAAAGGAAAATTTTCTATTCAGGGAAAAGAAAAAGACAGAAAGTAGTATTTCTTTCCTAACGAAAATAGCACAGTGAGTGAGGAAGTCCTGCTAACACGCTTCGTTAGAAAATATGAACTATGCAGCTGGAGGCAGTTATCCTAAGTGAATTAACACAGGAACAGAAAACCAGATGCCACATGTCTCACTTACAGGTAGAATCTAAACATGGGGTACTTATGGATATAAAGATAGTAACAACAGACACTGGGGACAGAGCAGGGAGGGAGGGAGGAAGAGGGGAGGGTGAGAAACTGTTGTGTACTAAGCTCGCTACCTGGATGACGGGATCATTTGCACCAAAGACCTCACTATCACATGAAAACCCACATGACAAACCTGCACATGTACCCTGTGAATTTAAAATAAAAGTTGAATTTATACAAAAAACTAAAACACGTGAATTAAAATTGTGAAACTTAGATCCAGGTGTCGTGTTCTGATGGTGTCTTAGTTTCTTGGGTCCTATGACGAAAATATTTGAATACATGTAATACAACATTTTCTTGTAATTGTTGAAATCTGTTCATTTGTGGGTGTTTTTGGATTTTTTTTAAATAGGGGAGTTGCTGGAAGCCATCAAACGTGACTTTGGTTCCTTTGACAAGTTTAAGGAGAAGCTGACGGCTGCGTCTGTTGGTGTCCAAGGCTCAGGTTGGGGTTGGCTTGGTTTCAATAAGGAACGGGGACACTTACAAATTGCTGCTTGTCCGAATCAGGATCCACTGCAAGGAACAACAGGTTAGATTTAAGAACTGTTATTTCATTTGGGAGGGTTGCTCTGCTGTAAAGCATTTAACTAGAAGTAAGGAAGGCTCGCAGTGTTTTACCTTACAAACATGTAATAATCTGTACAGATCTTAGCAGATAACACCGAGAGTCTTATGTAAGTAAAAACATTTTCGAAGTCCCCATATTTCATAAAATATACGTAATTTTATAGGTACGTTAACAAAAATGTTTTAGTTTTATTTATTTATTTTTTTGAGACCGATCTCTCACTCTGTTGCCCAGGCTGCAGTGCAGTGGCACGTTCTCAGCTCACTGTAACCTCTGCCTCCCAGGTTCAAGCAATTATCTTGCCTCAGCCTCCCAAATAGCTGGGATTACAGGCTCATACCACCACACCCGGCTAATTTTTGTATTTTTAGTAGAGATGGGGTTTCATCATATTGGCCAGGCAGGTATCAAATTCCTAATCTCAGGTGATCCGCCTGCCTTGGCCTCCCAAATGCTGGCATTACAGGCATGAGCCACCACACCCAGCCAAATGTTTTACTTATTAATCCTGCTTCATTCTACAGAGAAATAGTATCAGCTTAGATAATTATATGTATTAGAATAAAAAAAAATTAGCTATAGAACAAGAGTGAGGAAAATAAATATAAGCTGACATTGATTTCAGAGCTTGTACTGTTACCTCCTCTGCTGAGCATTTGAGGTTAAACTGAGACTTGAACTCAGGTTTCCAGACTTCTGCCTTTCTAGGGCTCTTTGGTAGAGTGTATGAAAATATTTGGCTTAGAAGTGCCAGGCTGGCCTCAACAAATACTTTTCTACTGTTGAGGCTAATTGGATTTAAAACATGTCACTGAAGTGTATGGGAAATAGAGTCATGAGTTGTCTGGCAGTGGGCTGGGACTCCGAACTTAAAGTGAAACCTTCATATTAACAACAGTCATTCTCTGCCCTTTCTTTTACCCCTGACGTCGGGATACTCTTGCTGTGCGGCTCACTTCCCAGGATAGACTCAGATTTTGGCAGAATATGAACAGCTCTTTTGGGACAGTGAAATGGCATGACAATTTGTAAAAGCCACAAAAAATTTGTGAGCACTGATCTATAGAGTCGGGTTATTTATAGAGCCACCTGATCGGAAAGGCTGGTGTTTATAAGTGAATTCCAGATACACTCCTTCCTCTTCTCTCCCTGTGGAAAGCCCATTAGAAGGAAAATCAGGGAATATCATGGCTCTTTGTTTACAAAAGTCATTCATAAATTTTGCTACTTGAAATTATTAATAAATTATTAGTCATCTCCCTCACAACTGATTCAAGACACAATGGTTAAGAATTGTTTGAGAAGGCTGGGCATGGTGGCTCACGCCTGTAATCCCAGCACTTTGGGAGGCCGAGGCGGGTGGATCATGAGGTCAAGGGATCGAGACCATCCTGGTCAACAAGGTGAAACCCCGTCTCTACTAAAAATACAAAAAAAATTAGCTGGGCATGGTGGCGCGTGCCTGTAATCCCAGCTACTCGGGAGGCTGAGGCAGGAGAATTGCCTGAACCCAGGAGGTGGAGGTTGCCGTGAGCCGAGATCGGGTCATTGCACTCCAGCCTGGGTAATGAGCGAAACTCCGTCTCAAAAAAAAAAAAAAGAATTGTTTGAGAAGAAATTAAAAAAAAAAAAGAAAAATTATATATATATATATTAAGAATTGTTTGAGAGGTTTTTTTTTTGTTTTTGAGATGAGTTTTGCTCTTGTTACCCAGGCTGGAGTGCAATGGCGTGATCTCAGCTCACTGCAACCTCCGCCTCCTGGGTTCAGGCAATTCTCCTGCCTCAGCCTCCCGAGTAGCTGGGACTACAGGCGCGTGCCACCATGCCCAGCTAATTTGTATGTTTTTAGTAGAGACGGGGTTTCACCTTGTTGACCAGGATGGTCTCGATCCCTTGACCTCATGATCCACCCGCCTCGGCCTCCCAAAGTGCTGGGATTACAGGCGTGAGCCACCGCGCCCGGCTGTTTTTTTTTTTTTTTTGAGGTGGAGTCTCTGTTGCCCAGGCTGGAGTGCAGTGGCACAGTCTCGGCTCACTGCAACTTTTGCCTCCCGGGTTCAAGCAGTTCTCCTGCCTCGGCCTCCTGAGTAGCTGGGATTACAGGTACCTGCCACCTCGCCCTGTTATTTTTTTGTATTTTTAGTAGAGATAGGGTTTCACCATGTTGGCCAGGATGATCTTGAACTCCTGACCTCGTGATCCGCCTGCCTCGGCCTCCCAAAGTGCTAGGATTACAGGTGTGAGCCACCATGCCCAGTCTGAGAGTTTTTTTTAAATGAATGTCTTATAGATAGAAATAAATTCTTCATTTGCCTCACTTAATTTCTGAAAGCACTGTCTTTTCTTTAGCCCTGTTGGTTTTCCTTGTTAACGTACTCTATTAGTGTCCCCCAACTGCTCTGTATTCCCAAAGATTAAAATTAGCCTTGGGGAGCAGAGCTGGTTTCTCATAAATTACCCTGTGAGTGCCCAGACCCTTTGGAAGAGATTCTCGGTGAGCCTCACTCCCACAGATGTAACACACACTTCCTGCTGCTCCTAAGACCACCATGAGGAAGACTGGGAATTGGCTCTAGAATGAATTTATTGATATTTTTAAGAATAGCTATTAAAATACTGTAATGAATTTTCCCAAGTCTATTTTGTTTTTAGTATTTGTCACATTTTCTTTGCAAATAGTAAATTAAAAATGTTTTATAGGAATATTCATTGTTACCTAGATATCCTATTTATATAAAAAACGAATGAGATTGTTACAAAGGGTAATTTTGTGTGTATAGAATAATAAAAGAAGTTAAGAAAATGCCGTGTTTTAGACTGCAATTGATGGTTTGTTCTCTTTTCTCCTTTCTAACAGGCCTTATTCCACTGCTGGGGATCGATGTGTGGGAGCATGCTTATTACCTCCAGTATAAAAATGTCAGACCTGATTACCTAAAAGCTATTTGGAATGTAATCAACTGGGAGAATGTAACTGAAAGATACATGGCTTGCAAAAAGTAAACCAGGATCATTATACTGAGTATGTTAAACTCTTTATGACTCTTTTTGTAGTGGTATAAAATACTGCAGAATACAGTAAGCTGCTCTATTGTAGCATTTCTTGATGTTGCTTATTCACATATTTGATAAACAACTTAATGTTCTGAATAATTTCTTACTAAACATTTTGTTATTGGGCAAGTGATTGAAAATAGTAAATGCTTTGTGTGATTGAATCACTTGATTGGACATTTTCTTCAGAGAGGAAAGAGCTAGCAGATTATAATTGCCATTACAAAACCATCAAAAAGATTCCATCCCTATACTTCGGCGGCTTGTAGGGATGCCTTTCTAATCTAGTTATAGAAAATCTAGTCTTTTGCTCCAGTTACTTAATAGAATAGTAACAGTTCCCAAGGGAAACACTCAGCTTTCTATAGAAAATTGCACTTTTTGTTGAGTAATAATCCTCTGCAGTGATACTTCTAGTGGATGTCACCCAGTGGTTTTTGTTTATGGTCAAATGTTCCTGTATAGTTTTTGCAAATCGAGCTGTGCACTGTTTAAGTGTAGCAGGTGTTACTGAACTGAACAAGTGTCACCTGCCGCAGTAAAACCAAACTTCAACACCAGAACTGCAAAAAGATGGGTTTTGTAGCAGGAGAAGGGAGGATGTTTATTTGCAGGGCACCAAGTAAGGAGAATTGGGCAGCTTATGCTCATGACCCATCTCCTTGATGGCTTATAAGCTAGAGTTTTTAAGGGCAGTGGTACATTTCAGGAAAGCAGAAGCTAAAGGCAAAATTGTAAATCAGATGAGATCGGTGCATTCAGGGTGGTATGGCTGTACACCAAAACTGTAAATCAATACGTGAAGCTTATATATTGGTTTGGCCTGAGAGGTTAAGTGGTTTAGGCAGGAGGCGGGCCTACTGCGTGTGTGATTGGTTAAGGAAGCAAAGGCCTACCCTGATGTGTGATTGGTTAAGGAAGCAAAGCTTTGTCTAAAAACTTGGGGTCTGCAGAAAGGAACATTAAGATCTGGCCAGGCCCCTTAGGAAGAAACTTAGAACAAAGAATTGAGGTCAGAGTATAGTCCCTGGTTCCCCCTTATCTGACATCTGTGCAAATCCATTTGGTGGGGATCTGAGTCTCTAAAAAGCAGCTCAGGGACATATGTTAAGAAGTCTCTATGTGACTGTAACTTCCCTGGCTATTGTTTGAAACTGTTATTACCTTCTTGTTTAGCAGGTTGCTCGGTTGCTTCTCAGGGCTAGCTAGGTGCCTGCAATTTTCTGTGAAGGAACTCAAGATTTTCCTTTATTTCTGTGCTTGTGTGAATCCCCCGGCACACCCCAAAGAGGTGTCCCTGTTCCATCTCACAGGGATCTTTTTTTTGTATTTGGCTTAACATCATCAGGCATCTCCCATGTTGTTACATCATCTTCCTAATTATCTTTAGTGGCTATATAATTTACCAGTTGGGCATTTCTAATTTAGTTTTAATTGTCATTACAGATAATGCTGGGGTGAGTAACTCTGTGCACATAGGTTTTATCTCCTATTGGAATATTTTCTTTATAGAGGAAAGTTGTTTTTGGAGACAGAGTCTTGCTGTGTTGCCCAGGCTGGAGTGCAGTGGTAAGATCTCAGTTTACTGCAACCTCCACTTCCCAGGTTCAGGCGATTCTCCCACCTCAGCCTCCCGAGTAGCTGGGATACAGGTGTGCACTACCACACCCAACTAATTTTTTTATTTTTAGTAGAGACAGGGTTTTACCATGTTGGCGAGGCTTGTCTCGAACTCCTGACCTCAAGTGATCCGTCTGCCTCGGCCTCCCAAAGTAGTGGAATTATAGGCGTGAGCCATTCCACCTGGCCTATATAGGCTTTTTTCTTAAACCATTTTAGTAATGTTTTCCCAAGTTTATTTTTTATTTTTTCCCCAAACTTTATTTTTCTATTTTTTTTTCATGGAAAAATGGGGTAACTTAGCAGTTTCAATATTGAAGACTGAAGTTTTAAAATAATTTGAATTCGAGGCACTTTTAGAATTCAATTGGAAAAGTAGCCTTTAAAAATTGTTAGAGACAAGAGTATTGGAACTGTGTGTGTGCGTGTGTATGCTTGTGGATTGGAGAAACTTTGGAGACTGATTGCTTTTCATTTTATATGTATCACAGTGAAATGGCTTTCATGTGTCATGTGATTACTGCTTGCCTCTCTAAACAAGGTCATGACTCTTTAAATAGATGGGCAAGTGGAACCGTTTGAAAAATGAGCTTTTGAATATAAGTTATCTGCTAGATCATGATTGGTATTGAACTAACAAGATTTGCAGATCTACTGACTTATATAAAGCTTTTTGATTCCTACTAAGCTTTAAGATTAAAAAAAATTCAATGTTGAAATTTCTATGGAGCTCTATTTTTGCTTTGGCTTTCTGGAGAGAGAATGAGGAAGCACTCTTTTCCTTCACTAAGTTTGTCTTTCTTCCCTTCTAGATAGATTGACTTTAAGAGTCTAAGAGAATTTGCAAACTTAAGATTTTAATCATCTGGTGGAAAAGGAGACTTTAAGATTGTTTAGGGCCGGACGTGGTGGCTCATGTCTGTAATCCCAGCACTTTGGGAGGCTCAGGTGGGCAGATCACTTGAAGGAGTTCAAGATCAGCCTGGTCAACATGGTGAAACCTTGTCTCTACTACACACACACACACACACACACACACACACACGGATTCTTTAACCCTGTTTTTCATAATAGAAATAGAAAAAGTAAAATTGCCTTTTCTTCCGAAAAGAACAAGTGTTGTTCATCCAAGAAGGGTTTTTGTGACTGATTCAGCAGGGCCTGCCCTAGTCATAGTTATACTTCAGCATGATTAGTGTTGGAGCAAAACAAGAAGGCAAAGCAAGTCCTGCTTTTGAAATTCTGTCTGTTGCTTGAACTATTTTGAAATAATTAAACTTTGATGTTGAGAAATTACAACTTTATTGTATACTTTATTGCAACTTGAAATTCATGGTCTTAAAGTGAGATTTGAATTTCTATAGGGTGCCTTTTAAAAAGTAATACCAAACCCTAAAGTTAAAATTGATGTATATTGAGTCATATCTAAAACCAGATATAAATATAAATGTTATTTCCTGTTGGGAAGGCTATTAGGAGGTAAATGTTTGATAAATTACTATTTCTCATTTTCAGTCATGCCCTAATGATCCCAGCAAGATAATGTCCTGTCTTCTAAGGTGTGCATCAAGCCTGGTACATACTCAAAATCCTATAAGGTCCTGTATACTTTTCGTTTGATTATTCATTGAAGAAACATTTATTTTCAATTGTGTGAAGTTTTTGATTGTTAATAAACGAATCTATCAACCACCAAAGAGGTCTGCATTATGCTTGCATATCAAAAACGTTCAAAATCCTGTCTGTTCTATCGTTTTTATGGAGTTTCCGTGGGAAAGGAATAGTAAATGATAGGTAGTTGAACTATTACTCTTAGGACCAAGAACTCTATCTCAGTCATACCTCTAATAACATCATCTAATAACATAAAATCATAGTATTAGGGATATAGGACAAAACCAAAGTGTTTTTGCTGTTGTCACACACTACTCAATACTTGTACACCATGTCCAGTGGACACCAGCTGGATGTCCTTTAATTCAATTCTGACACTATCTGCCTGGAATTGGAGTCAGATCCCACAGGTGGAGGGCTCAGACCACAAGTCTGCCCCACTTCAGATACCAACCACAAGTCCCAGGTAGTGGCCTGTACTTCTGACCGACTGGCTATAAATTGGGGATCCCATGACCCCTTCCATGGGTTTGATTTATTTGCTGGAGCAGCTCACAGAATACAGGGAAACACTCTACTTCTGTTTACCCATTTTTAATTTCATTACTTTATTAAAACTACATATTGGGTACAATACCCTTTTATTGTAAAGGCTATTTCATTTATTTATTTATAGACAGAGTCTCGCTCTGTCACCGAGGCTGGAGTGCAATGGCTTGATCTCAGCTCACTGCAATCTCTGCCTCCTGAGTTCAAGCGATTCTTGTGCCTCATCCTCCCAAGTGTGCACCACTACGCCTGGCTAATTTTTTAGTTTTTATTAGAGACAGGACTTCACTGTATCAGCCAGGCTGGTCTCAAACTCTTGACCTCAAGTGATCCACCCACTTCAGCCTTCCAAAGTGCTGGGATTACAGGCATGAACCACTGCCTTTGGCCTGTAAAGGATATTTCAAAGGAGACAGATGAACAGCCAGATGGAAGAGATGCACAGGGCAAGGCATATGGAAAGGGGCATGGAACTTTCATGCCCTCTCTATACCATCAGCTATCCAGAAGCCCATCTGGACCCTGACCCTTTGGGTTTTTATGGAAGCTTCATTATGTTGGCATGATTACCATTGGCCATTGATTAACTCAACCTTCAGCCCTTCTCCCCTCTCTGGAGGTTGGGGGCTGAGGCTGGGAATTCAAACCCTGTAATCTTACCTTGGTCTTTCTCATGAGCAGTCCCCATCCTGAAGCTACTAGGGGGTCCCAGCCACCAAGCATTTCATTAGCAAACAAAAAGACACTTCAAGTGGTTTAGGAGCCAAGAAACCAAGCCAAGGATTAAGACAATATATTTATTTCTTATAAATAACAATATCACAAATAGCATTTTATATATTTCTCATAATAGCTAGGTGCGGTGGCTCACACCTGTCATCCCAGCTACCAAGAGGCTAAGGCAGGAGGATCACTTAGGCCCAGGAGTTTGAGGCTGCAGTGAGCTATGATTGTGCCACTGCACTCTGGCCCGGGTGACAGCGTGACAGCGTGAAAGTTCTTGTAACATCTTAGAATGTTAACCAAAGACAGAATATTGCCTTAACTCTGGAAAATAAAATAATCAGACTTTTAGAAGATGTATTTTACATAAAGTTCTGGCGATGTTTTACTCCGGTCACTGGAATATAGGAGTTTACCACCTGGTGCCACTCTTCCTAGAGTGG